TCTCTTAGTATTAGCAACCCCAAACGCTTAATGAACACGCTTGCACACATACATATACACACACCAGTGTATACACCACACTACATAGGCTAGGTCTCCAATAGTCTTAAACTGTCTCCTTCGACATCCCCAAAACATTTCAGGGTTTTTTTTTCATTTGCCTGTATTTTGAAACATTAGGATTCACAGTCATCAAGCTTCAGGCTTTTCCCTAGCACAAGGGCTAGAAATTAAAAAACCAAAGCATCAACATTCCCTCCCTCTCCACCCCCCTCCCTCCGAGAGGTTTGTCTATTCATTTCAGGAGCTCAGGTTTAAAATCAATCAAAGTCACCAGGTGGAAGCATGCCTCCCTGATGTGTTGGTATGTGCCTGCAGCCATCTCTTGCTCTCCAGCTTTTCTAAGGATGGGGAATGTTGTTAATCATGTGATAGGTATCCAGATTGTAGCCATATTGGTGCAGAGGAAAAAGGCAATCAGGACTTGTAGTAGAGATGATCTCTTTTATTAGACCAACAAGATTTTTGCAAAAAAATTGTCTTTAATTGCAAACTTTCCAGCACAAGTACCCTTCATCGGGCATTGGAGAAAAGATTGTAAAAGCTTTCTCCTGGATAGAAATGAAAGTTCATATTTCATAGGATCTCACAGAGGAGTCAATAGATGGAAAACTCTTCTGGGCAGTCAGTTCATAGCTGGTATTCCATCAAGCCAGCTAAAATTGCATATTTCCCTGGCACACAGGAAGGGAACAAAGTTCTAATGCTACAACAGGGAAGAGGAACCAGTCCACACAGCAAGCATACCAAAATATTCCCATATTGGTCAAAGTTACATTCATGAGAATTGCCAAGTCACAAATTTTGCATATAGACAAAAGAATAGGAAAGACAAATATTTAATAGTTTCCAAGACTTTAAGCCCATTGTGTGAAGTATGCTGTGTCTTGATAATGTTTCAGACATGTCTTGCAAACTCATTTGAGATGCTCCTCAAAGTCATCATTTCAGTTACCAGCAAACCTATATAGCTTTCCAGAAATATTCAGCTAAGCTACAACCTCCCCTGCTCTGCTGTGGCAGAACAAAAAAACAAATTCACCTAAAGTAAGAAAATGGTAGGGCAGAGGGAGAGAAAGAATCGGGTAAAACAGAAAGGGGAAGAGATGTTGATCATCAAAAAAGAGCACACTAGGGAAAAACTAGCAAACTTCAATGAATTCAAGTCAGTACAGCATGATGTATTTACCCCAGGGTGCTGAAGCAACTACCTGAAGAAACCTTGGAGCTAGTGAAAAAATGTTTTCAGATTCATGGATGACAGATGAGATCTCAGAGGGCTGGAAGGAAGTTAACATAGGGCGTAAACAAATATAGCATCTCTCTTAAGAAAGCCTTTTGTTCTAGGATTGTACAGAGTAACAGTACATTGTCCTGCTTTAAGTATCTCTAAAAGGCTAAACCCTTCCTCCTCTACACTGTGTGTTGTTTGTCCTTTGCAAGCAAAGATGACTGCATAGGGGTGGGGAAGGGAGAAGAGAGAAAGGAAGCAGGAAAGAAAAAGGGAGGGGGGAGAAAGAAGAAAAAGGAGAAAGAAGAGAGAGGAGAGGGTGGAGGCTAGGTTGCATGGGTACACCGGTGATTTATAAGCCCAATCTTTGCCCTGAACAACCTGCTGCAGCAGGGGCAGGAAAGCGACAAGGACTAGACATGAGAGGTCCTCATTTTCATGGCCACACACTTCCTCACTGCCTCTGCCATGCGCCGCAGCTCAAAGGCCAGTGCTCTGCTCTGGACTGCGCTATGTATGCCTAAATTAATCACAGCTCATTCAGGTTAATTGTCCCTTATATCTAGGTGCAAGCTGGCCAAACTGTGTACTGTCCTTGGCCACTGCAGTAGTTGGAGTACTGCATCCAGTTCTGGGCACAGCACTTCAGGAGGGATGTGGCTAGCATAGAGAGGGTCCAGAAGAGGGTCACTTGCATGATCAGGGGCCAGCAGGGTAGGCCCTACGAGGAAAGGCTAAGGGACCTGAACTTGTTCAGCCTACACAAAAGAAGGCTGAGAGGGGATCTGGTGGCCACTTACAAACTTGCCAAGGGGGACCAACAGGCAATGGGAGAGTCCCTGTTCCCCCGAGCACTACCGGGAGTTACAAGGAATAATGGCCATCAGCTGACTGAGAATGGGTTCAGGCTAGACATCAGGAGGCACTACTTCACAGTCAGGGTGGCTAGGACCTGGAACCAACTTCCTAGGGAAGTGGAGCTCGCCCTTATCCTGGAGATCTTCAACAGGAGGCTAGACAATTACATAGCCAGGGTCGTTTGACCCCAGCATTCTTTCCTGCCCATGGCAGGGGGTTGGACTTGATGACCTGCTTAGGTCCCTTCTGGCCCTACCAACTATTAAACTATGAAACCTATTGGGAGAGGAGTATGCAATGCAGCCTGGAAGGTTTACACATGTAACAGGCTGTACCACTTCTTTTGTCCCAGGGTTTTGATTCATACCACAAAAGTCTCAATGTCTGGTTACAGGCACAATGCCCATCTTTTAAAAGGGAGGGAGGGAGGGAGGGGTGGAAGGAGAAGTAATAAAGGGACACAAGGAATTGTAGACAGGTCAGCCGTATTTCAATATCTAAAATGTTAAAATAAATTAGAAAATATGCAGTTTGTAATTGTCTGCAGATCAGGGGATGATACGTAGCAGCCAACCAATTTAAGAGCAAAACTTGCCAAGACACCTTGATTACTTCCCTTTAAAAGAATAATCAATTGGTGGATAACGAGAATTTGGTGGATATAATATACCTGGACTTTAGCGAGGTTTTTGACTCAAGGACTACCATTCCCTAAGTAACCTAGATAAATGTAGGTTATATTAAATGAGCATTGGGTCTTCACAGAACTGGCTGAATATCTGCCAGCAAAGAGTGTTTGCTAATGGATAAATGTCAGGCTGGCATGTTTCAAGTGGGGTTCCACAGGAGTCTATTCTGCTTATTTTTATTAATGATATGGAAAGAACGAGCAAGAGCAAGTGAAAGCACACAAGTGAACGTGTGCATGTTGATCAAATTTCCACATACCACAAAAGGGATCTGGATAAACTGGAGAACTGGGCTATAGACCATAAAATGAAAACTCATAGGGAAGAAAAATTAAATGCTCACATGTAGAATAGAGGATAAACTGGCTTGGCATTACTGAGGATCTGGGGGTTAAGGTGGACCACAGACTCAAAGTGAGTTACTAATGTGATGCTTTCATAAGAAAAAAAGTGAATGTAGTTTTGGCTGCATTCCAAGAAGCCCTAAATGAAAGTCACAGGAGGTACTTTTATGACTCTGGGAGCGCACAGGCATTCATTCTTGTGAAGAGTCTCTTTCTCTTGAGAGAGAGATCTTCCAGGTTAAAATCTGGAAGATCTTTCTCCTAGAGGGGGTGTTTTGCCCAGGAGATACTGAATGAATACCGGCATAATCACAGGATGCTTTTACACGTGCTCCAAAGCATTCTGATTAGAACACGTCGGAACACACTGCTGGAGCGCTCTAATCAGAATGCTCCAGCATCTCATGTAGTCAGTGTCCCTACAATTCAAAATGGTAGCACGGGTGCTTTAACTAAAGCTCATCAAACAAACTTTAAAGTGCCCTTGACAACATTTTGAAATGTGGGGCACTGAATACACAAGACTACAGGCGTATTAATTAGAAACGCTCCTGCGTGCCACTCTCATAAAACTGCCCACCCCAGAGCACATGTAGAGGTGCCCATAATCTCCATGTAGACACAAACTTCTGTACCTAGCCTCTACTTGGCAGTGGGTAGGTTTCAGCTGGAGTTGTGTCCAGTTTTTGGTATCACATTATGAGAAGGAAATGAAAACACTAAACAGAATTTAAAGCAAGCAATGAAAATGAAAGAATGGTTAGGAAAACAAACTATATGAGGAAAGGCTGAATGACCCAAGTAAGTTTAGTTCAGAAAAGAGGCTATTAAAGACAAGTCTTGGTAGCACTTATCAAGTATTTGAAAGCCAATCATAAAGATGTTGAAACAGTTTTCCCCTGCCAGAGAGAGCAGGGTACACACCAATGAAAAAGCAGGGCACAGAGCACACACCAACTGCTGAAACTTCCTTAGCCTGACGAAGGGTTTTTGAACCCGAAAGCTTGCTTAATAAATATTCTCCAACTATTTGGGTTGGTCTAATAAAAGATATCAAATTCACCCAAGGAACCTTGTCTGCCTAGGGCACACACCCATGAATTCGAACTGCAACAAAGCATATTTAGATCAAATTGCAGAAAAAAAACCTCCTTAATTGTAACAGTAAGAAAATGGAACAAGCTACATGGAAATCTAACTGGAATTTTTCCAAGAAGCATCTGACTGGGATGGTTTAGGAATAATACATCCAGCATGTGTGTAAGCAACTGTACTAGACTACCCTAGAAAAGCCATTGAACTCTAAGGGTCTATAGTTTTTAGTATTAAAAAGCTTTACATTTTTTCAGAAGGTTCTAATAGAAAATCAGTTTCTCCCATTCAACACTCTGGATTTAAAACTCTCATCAAGTCCCACTGTTTCATTTACTCTGTCATCTGTATTATACCCATTTCAATTTCCATTAGGAGGCAGTTATACAAGCAGAAAAAAACCCCAGCTTTCATGCCAGACCAGAGTCAACTTCAACATGTATTAAATCAGTTGGGCAGAGCAAGGTTGGATGCTCTCTCTATTTGTTCTAAATAAAGAAATCATTCAAACCACAGGTTGAAAACAACCGATTTATAAACTGAATCTTGCATTTGTAACCCTTGAGGTCCCTACCAGTGGGACCTATGATTTTATATTCTTCACTGAAAGGGCTGACATCCCAATTTTTTTAATCTGTTGGCAGCAGTGCCCAACTGAAATTTAATTTGCTTATTATATATTACCATTTGTATCAAAGATTAAAAACAAGGAAAACACAAACTAACTTTATTTTAAGGGTGCCAGCATCCCAGAGCCAAAAACATATTGTTCCATCTGCCCCAGTCGAGGACAGATATCTCTTTGAACCACTGCACAACGGAGAAAACTGCAAAGAAAAAAAATCCGCAGGTTAAAAATATTCTTTCCTAGACTACTATCATATTTAGCAAGCAGCATGAATTGAGTGGCCCAAATTATTCAGTCTATTCTGACCACACCAGTTCCAGTAAGTGCTAGTAAAGCAAATGTTATCACAGAAACACCGAACAGCAAAATAGTGTGATGATGGTTCTCATATGCATTCTTTTCCCCACACAAATAGGAACTTGATCAGATGGAGTTAAGGGATTACTTTGCTTCCCTACAAAGCCTGTGGACAGACCAAGCAATTGCAGTGGTTTAAGGTGGGGAACAGGAGAGTGCAAGGACTCCCATCTCTTATGAGAACGTACATCAGCCGATCCATGGAATCCATTTTTCATCTGTCCAGTCCTATTTCTCAGTAAGCAAAGGTAACCCACAATAATTTTACCCCTGAAGGAAACAGGTGATGGATTATTGCAATTTAACTTCAAGTTTACCATATGATAAAGCGAAGACAAAAAAAAACAGAAAAAAACAGAACAGATTCAGCTGAACCATGGTAAGACTCCCTCCCATCACCTTCAAGGAATCTGGCAGCGTAAGGTGCTTCACATGTCCGCATCAAGTCCTACAGTCAACAAAACCTCAAAGAAAATGTTCTTACAATAATTTGAAGCTTTCTTATATACTATAATATGTCAATGTTACTAAATAAAATAATCTTGTTCATTTAATTTCCAATGTTCTCTCTTTTTTTTTTTAGTTAACCGAGTGTTTATCATAGCTTGTAAGGTAACTTAAGTCTAGGTCCTGCAAAAGCTTACACATTGAACTTTACACATAGTTAGTCTACTGATTTTAACAGAAATATACATAGGTATAAAGTTAAACTCATGTAGGCTAAGGACAGATGTTGCATATAAACCGGCATGTGATCAGAAACCAGTTCAAATCTGTAACACAACAGAAATTCAATACAGATAAACTGCTTTCAAAATGGCCAAAACCAATTTAAGATAAACCTGGATGGATGTAGTATCAGATTTAACTGTTTTAGGTTAAATCGGTTCACTGAACTTGTCTCAGATCCCCTCCAGATTCAAGTTAATTCTCAGCCCCCCAGCATCCCAGGATGCTTTGTACCCTCTACCTTGCAGGGTGGGAGGGCTAGTCTTGGCTGTCTGCTCTAGCACCCTCACCTGCTGGCATGTGGTCTGGGCTGCTGCAGACATGTGGCTGCATTTCCATAAAAAGAGAATGCCTGTTCACTTGCTAATTGATTCAATCTACACAGCTTAGACTAACCTGTGAAGACTGAATCAATCCAGCCTCAGGATTGTTGACTGTCTGTACTTAGCTGTAATGTTTTTGAACCAGGGTGTTTCTAAACTCTTCAGGATAGAAACCTGAGTCTGCATTCGTCAAGTGAAAGACATTTGACACTGCAAATAAAAACTGTCAGACTACTTATATTAAAAGCTTCTTTTCCACTCCAAATTTTATTACTTATTTCATATATTAAAAAGAAAACTAAAAAAAAAAAAAAAAGTTACTGCTGCAATATATTCTTGCTTACATGTTTTTTGCAAAAAAAGTGACTGTTACCTGCAGTGATGTTATCGATGCACTGTGGCCCTGCAAAACTGCTAGGGGTGCACATGTTCGAAGACACCAAACTCGGATCATTTTATCACAGCTCCCTGCAGCAATCATGGTGTTTTCATAGTTCACAGCCATGTCAGATATTTCAGCTGCATGTCCTCTTAGAGTAGCCAACAACCTTCCATCATCTGTTGCCCAGATTTTTACAAGGCAATCATCTGAACCCTAAAAATAAAGGAAGATATCACTACAACCATGCAAAATAGTTATTTTAATGTTCTATACCCATGTTATTTACCGAAACAACAAAATTAATTGAATTGATTGTAAACAACTTCTTTCTATAGTTTGAGTGCTCTGAGGAAAGCTTTGGCATTCTGTATGCAAGAAGAATCTGAGGTATGCCAAGTGCTAACTGTATACATGAATTATGCATTTTAACATATACACAAACCCTACAATAAGTCCAATTTAAAAATTCTTCAAAGTAGTCTATTTTCTGTTAAACTGGAGTTTTGCAAATTAAGATATAGCAACAGCCTAATTTATATTTTAAAATGGAGACTTGCAACTAATGTGGAAATGGAACATTGTAATGGTTATTCATTTAATTTTTATTAACTTCAATAGTTTACATTATGTCTAGTCTCTCCTAACAAGCTCATTCTTCATGTCCCACAATGTAAAAAGAGCTAATACAGAACTTTTTCTTTCCTCACTTTTCCTGTATGAATTTAATGAACAATAAATAGAGCTACCATTTAAAATACTGCTAATATCCATATTAACATGGACTGAAATGAAAGCAAAAATTCACAGCTCTGAGTTCCCATTTCAGTTCTTTACAAACAGCAGATGACATTTCTGGTTTGGTTAAACTCAATTTCACAATTTGGAAAGTGTGGGGGGGGTTCTGTTCTAAGTAATGCAGTCACTGGGGAATAAGTGAAAGGTCAGCTCATTCCTTTCCAGTTTTTTTCCTTTGCATTCCCTGAAAGGAGGATATGCCACACTTTGAAAAACACTGCACTAAGATAACTACAAACTTACACTTCAGAGCTATTATTTCAGGTTATCTGCAGGCTCAAAACATATATAACACTGCACCTTTGAGCATTTCATTCACATTTTACAGTTTTCTTTGCAACAAGGAGAAACAGGAAAAAAATTAAAATGCCAGTTTAGAGCATTTTTGGAGCACAAATCCACTACAGTCTCTGGATTCTTCTATGCCATTAATATAAAGTTTTCTTCCTAGGTTTTTTTCTATCTAAATACACATATAGTGTTTAAGCATCCCAATCTAGTGCATTTTTCCTTATAAAAGCTATTTGAGGAAAGAAATATTCCCTGAAGGAGGAACCTGAAGCAAAAGGAGACCAACAGCCAATGTTTCAAATGTAAGTAGGTTACTTAAAACATATTCTATTGGAACTCCTATTTCAATTGAGCCAAAACAGTGCACACCACACAACGGTGAGTGAATTTCAGTAAAACAAATAAATAAAAGTTTGGTAATTTCCCAGAACAAAACAGAGAGGAGAGCAGGAGTGTTGCTTAACACGTTCAAAATTACTACAAACATTTCACTAACGTGCTCTAGCAACTTGTAACTAGCGTGGCTTGTCTGCCAAATATTTGAGATCTGCTTTTTGCCATCCCTAGAAAAATCAGCCCAAATTTGATCACAGTTATTATACTGTAGAATAAACACTGTAGTTTTCACAAACTCAATAAATGCTTGTTGGAACTTGGCAGCAAAATGCATCAAAGATTTTTTCTACACTGAGCAGAGTTAGTGTGAGGATTTCAACTAGACTGTGCCTGCAGCAACCTTATCGTGACTGAATATACACCATCAAAAACTTTCACAGCAAAATAAAAACTGTCCCCTACAACTGCTACTCCCAGCTCATAGGGCCGCTGTGTACAAGACATCACAACAGAGAGCAGGGAGACTGTCCACCACTCTTAATGGCCATAGACAAGCATTACATTTGTGCTAAGAAATATGCGACTGCATAGCTCTCCAGCCACGGAACAGGAATGCATGCACAGCTAGCTCCCTTCTCACATTTTTGTGGCACTGGAAATTTTTTGGCACTCGAACTGCAGGCCTGTCCATATTCAATGTCTCCCTGTTGGCACATGGGCAACTCAGAAAATAAAGTAGCCCATATTAAATATTGGGGTGGAGGGTAAAAGGTAATTAAGAAACAGGACTGAAAATCCAGAAGGGACAAAAACATAAGTGAGCAAATTTAGGTGGGAGGCAACAAAGGCAGATATGTAATCACTAAAGCATGTACCCGTCTAGAACCTGGAACTAAACCCAGAATTCCAAAACCTTAAAATCCTTCTGCTGTCTACAAATAAACTAAGAAAGCCATTACCAAAGTATGTCTCTTATCTTTTCTAAAAGGTGCTAATGAACATGACATGATTACATGAATACATAAAGGATGACAACCTAAAAATGGTTATCAATTACTGTTCATTCAAGTCACAAGTTCGTCTACAAATTAACATGGTTCTGATTCTGTTGATGCCCAATACAGGGTAAATATAGTTCCATATGAAGGAATCCAAAGTGTTTCTTAATTTCGCTTTTATCAACAAAACAAAACCCGCTAAGCTTGTTTGTGGGTTTTGTAAGTCATTTCCCATTAAGAGTCAAGCGTTCAGGTCTAGAAAAAACCTTCAGTAAAACTTTAATTGCTATAACTGTTGCTATACATCATGGTACAGTCTACTCAAGTATTATTTTTCATGCAACGTATAGGCTGTTGCCTATTAAGTGAGGCTGCTGGGAGGAAAGGGATATCAACATCCCAGTTTTAAGGAGATGCCTATTTCTAAGCCACATCATGAAGCCAAGCTTTAAAATGTTGCATTTAATAGAGATGTTGCACCTCCCGACTAGTGTGCACCTCTGAAAAGTTGGATTAGTTTTATACAGAAAACCTTTCCATAGCATTTAATGAATTGGGCTAATAGGGGAGTTCCTTCCTTAGTGAAGCTAATGACTTTAAACCACTTCTATTTGATATCTGGCCAAATACTGGTCCTCAGATTATTAAAAAAACCCCTAAAAAACAACAAACTTGAACAGTAGCAATAAATAAATTAAAAAACTGTTATTATATTGAAAGAGGTGCTACTACATTCAGAAGAGATACAGAGGAATGCTTAGCGTCTAAAAAGGTTAAGAACTGCTTCTAGCCGGATATACATAAAATTAAGATGCACCAGATACATGCAAACACAGAAAGAGTAGTCTGTTTGCAAGGAAAATAAAAACAAAAAAGGGGAGGACAGACAACAGCCATTAAGCAGCAGAATGAAAGTGACAACACAGTTGCAGAAGTGTCATGTAGGAGATAGTAAGCCAGTCTGTAATTAATTTATTTCATTAAATGAAAAGCTAATTGTGTCATTAACCTATTAAACTCACTCCAAATCATTTAAAAGAGGATTAAATCTCAATTTACAGATACATTTGAACGAATTACCAAGAAAAAAAGTTATGCTACATTACCATTTTTAAAAACAGAATTTCAAAATATTTAGTAGAGGTGCACCGGTACAATAGTCCATATCGTATAGGCACTCATAGAAGGAAAAATTGACATTATCAGCAATCAGCTTTTTTTGGCTAACATGGCTGATAATGTTGCCAATAAATGCTGTGCACATGAGCACAGCTGCAGCATGCACATGGCCAGGAGTGCAGCCCAGAAGCTTGAAGAGCAGCATGACTGGTAAGCTTGGGGGGGGGGGGGGGGGGGGCGGGGGGGGGGAGCGGGCGGGCGG